TCCACCCTTTGACCGATTTAAAACAATCCGGTCAAACCTTGTCCGGTTTAATATCCGGATAAACACTTAGAGCAAAAGACTGATTTCTATCCAAATTCAAACMAAATTCATATGAAACCAGTAATAATTTTATGCAAAAGAGTTTAGAAATCACTCACCTTATCAGGCTTTTGAAACCAAATACTTGAATCTTCAAACAAAGAAATCCGGACACTTCTCTTCTCTTTTAAATCACACAGCTTTTAACTAAAATCAGAAGAGAAAATATGGAGGCTAAGCCCCCCCTTTTATACACTTCAAAAAATAGAAGGTCGGCTAACAGGCCCTTCTTCCCATACAACCCATGCACATGCATGCATCTACACATACCATGCATACATACATATGTCCACACACACACACACTATGCATTTCTTAATATGCAAATGTGTAATATAATATATATATATATATATATATATATATTTCCACATATATACATATTCTAATACACATAACCACATTATACAATTAATTTTCACATACCAGCATGATCAAATGTATCAATTTATCATACTATCACGTAATCATTTAATCAAATAATCACGTATAAATTACCTCGGGTGATAACTAGGGTCTGATTATCACAGCTCCCAATTTGCTTTGCGATCCTACAAACTTTGTTTATGTCGGGCAAATTTTTTTCCATGGACCACTTGAGAGGAAGACGTTTATTTTCATTGTTAGCGATGTCTCTTAATCGCCTTTCCGGTGATAATTCCTCGTTTTGCCTTCTTTGTAACCGGTTATTCCGTCGGTTCCACTTGGATGCGGCGACAATTGATACGTATATCTAGAGCAAGTTGCCCAGGTGTACTCGTCTCTGATGACGCAGGTGTAGTTGGTGAGTCCAAAGACGGAAGGTACAATTGGCGTTGGACGGAAGGTGTCGCCTCTGACGAGATTTCTACCGAATCACCCTCTAGGCGTGCCGTAGTTCGCCCCAAGACCGACGCCTTTGCTAAATTAAACGCTTGAGTTCTTTTTGAAGACATATGAATCTACAAAAAACAATGTCTAACATGTTTAAGAACAATACTATAGAACAATCTGTTTTGAACCTTTAGTTAATTACACCCTTTTTTGTTTTTCTTTTTTATTTACCAATGGTTATAATATCAACTATAAATAATATAAAAAGAAGAGAAGAGAAGAGGAAAAGAAGGTGATGTGGATGTAATCCAACAACCTTTATGTTCCCTCCTTTTTAAGTTCTTCTTAACCCATCAATATCATTAGTCACACTTTTACTGCTACTTCTCCCTTTCCCCACTATTCTCAACGGAGTTTTACTTTTCTTTATAATATATATATATGCCGTCAAAAATGTAATAATATATATGTATATATATATATAAAGTATATATATATCCTTTATATATATTCCGTCAAAAATGTAATTATATATATATATATATATCCTTTTTAAACCATCAATACTTCTTCCTTTCCCCACTATTCTTAATGGAGTTTTACTTTTCTTTATAATATATATATATATATATATATATATATATATATCCTTTTTAAACCGTCAAAAATGTAATAATATGTTTTAACTTTTTATGGGGCTTAACTTATAACCTAAAAACCACATCAATTTACTATGCACGTAACATATACGGATATATACATATATGAATGTAATAGATTTACAATCCTGTTTCGATTTCTTCTCTTTAACCAGACTCAAACGAGGGTATCGATGGGAGACAGTTTCCCTATAAACCTGAATCGCAGTTCGAGTTTGTGGAGCTAGTCGAAGCTCATCCTTTCCATTAAAATTTCTCCCTTGAATTCGAAATTCATGATTCATATCTAACCATCTACGTGCCCCCATATATGACATCCTACCATGAGAGAACTTAGCATCAGTGTCATCCAAACATATGGGACATGCCTTGTACCCTTTCGTCTGAATACCACCTAACATTCCCAACCCTGGAAAATCACTAATAGTCCACATCACTACAGCTTTCATCGTAAAGTACTCTTCCCCGTATCGATCCCATGTCCTAAAACCAGTCTCCCAAAAAATTTGAGCTCATCAATCAGTGGTCTCATAAACAAATTGAGACATTTCCCTGGGGATTTTGGTCCGGATATCAACATCGTTAGTATATTAAATTCCTTTTGCATGCATATTGAAGGAGGTAAGTTGTATGGAATCACAACAATTGGCCAAATGCTATATGGAGTAGCAGAAGCCCCGAAAAAACTAAACCCATCAGTCGATAAAGCGAGACGAACGTTTCTGAGGTCACTCGCAAATTGAGGATATGACCTATTATGTGTCAAAGAGTACAAATCTATTTAAAACATTTACTTGTCAAAAAATATAACCATATTAAAAGAAATTGCGTGTCAAACAAGTATATTAAAAACATTTACCTATCAAAATCTTTCCATGCTTCACCATCAGCTGGGTGTCTCAATACATCATCATACGGGGACGTTTCCCTTTGACCATGCCATCTCATATGATCTGCAGTATATTTTGACATGTACAAACGTTGCAACCTCAGTGTCAGAGGAAAGTAACGAACAATCTTCATCGGTACTTTGTTACCGACATCGTCATATCTTGGCAATCCACATACGGGGCACTGGTCATGTATGTCACCCTCTTTATAGTATAAGAAACAACCATTTAAACATGCGTGGATAAGCTCATACCCCATCCCAACGCCTTTAAGGATCTTTTTCGCCTCTGCATATGATTTAGGAAGCTTGTTTGGAGTGGGCAATAAAGATTTCTGAAACCCCAAATGCTTATCAAATGCCTTGATAGAAATTCCAGTTTCTTCTTTTAGAGAAATTGCTCTTAGAAGGGCACCCAAGGAAGTTTCTGTACAACCATCGTACAATGGAGTATTCGTTTCTGCTAGCAGTCGCGCATAGGCATCAATGACTTTGGAAGTAACAATGTCCACATCACAAACTGGAGTACTCTCATGGGCGATTGATTCGCCATCATTGTACCGCTCACGAAATGGAAATGCATCTTCCACAAAATTTACAATAGGATTGACATTGTGACTCAAAGACGCTCGATCGCGTATTATATTCAACCATCGTTGTGATGCAGTAGGTATATTTGTAACTTCACCGTGTTGATCCCACACAGTATAATTTTTTATTATACCAACATCTTTCAAATGGAAAATTATATCTGCCTCATTTTGAAATAACATGTTGCCACAGTCTATGCAGGGGCATTTATAATAACCATTCCAATTAACTGAATTCTTTTTAGCAAATTCCAAAAATGCATATATTCCAAAAATGTATTTTTCCTAGTATCTTTTTAAATTCATCCAACTTTTGTCCACATTTTTTATCATATCTATATGTCAAAAATAAATGCATGCATATAGTAAGAGCTATAGATATTTTTAGACACGTAGTAATCCAAATTTACATGAGATAAACATAAAATAACTACAAAATTAGACAAAATACGATAATAATTACCTAATAATCTTTAAATGACTTTTGATGATGAATACAACGTTTGTTGGAAGACAAAACTCGGCAATATACTCCAAATCACGTCCCAAGCCCTTAGAAAGAAAATGTTGGAAATGAAGATTAGATGTTGGAAATGGGGGAACTACAAATATTTATAGTTGATTTTCATCTTAGGCAACATAGAAACAAGAATCTATGTTGCCTAAGAAAGCTCTAAAGCAACAAGCACAATAGATAATATGTTGCCTAAGTAAATGTGATGGATTTATCGTACAATGTCAGTTGTCAACCTTAAAACTTATGCCAATCTTAAAACCTTCAATTACCAGAAGTTATTATGTTTTTAAGCTTAGACAACATAGAAACATGAATATATGTTGCCTAAGTAAATTATGATAAATCTTTTGTACAATGCCAGTTGTCACCTTGGTAGCATCAATTTTTTTACCTTAGGCAACATAGAAACAAGAATATATGTTGCCTAAGTAAATTGGGTTGAATTTATAA